TCGTAATACTTGTAATATTCCGGCTTGTTGTCATACTGTTACCCACGGCAACAACAAGCATGGCTGAAAGTGAACTCATTACCGACTCTGAGGTGGTTCCACAAAGAGGAGCAGCTTCAGTAGTGTGGAATTAACTGTGGCGTCCGCTCAGAGGGAACTCATTCAGCGGCTCCTCTGGCAGCAGCACAGCGTCTCTCCCTCTCCTCTCTGATTCTGTCACAAACCTTTGCTGATGTAAACCTACGTGAATAAACTCCATATATGTGACTGTATCATAACAGCCTGTCACAGGTTACAGCCTGATGACTAGAGGAGAAATGGCAGAGCATCAAGGTCCAGGTGGAAACAAAACAACTCAGTCATTTAGGATTTTACTCAAAGAAGGAAATCAGCTGTTGGTTTATATATATATAGATCCCAGGGGACATTTGTTTAAATGTGTAATTAGTGTTAGATTTGATTTAGTTGAACATTTAATATTGTGACAGAATCTGAATCTGACTCTGAGTTACTGTTGTTGTTCACAAACTAAAGAAATGAGAGATCAGTTTAGTTTTTACTGAATATTTGAAGCAAACTGTGAAACCAGGTCACTGATTCTGTTCTTGAATTAATAACACATTTATTTAACCCCACAGTCATGTTGTCGTGTCCGGTATGCAGACAGCTGAGGGGTGGAGAGGGCAGGTTGTGCCCACTGCTGTGGGATTTAGATCAGACGGAGGGCTCAACACATCACAGATGCACCATTGATGAATCTCAGGACGACAGCCTCGTCTGCAGCCACCTGCCAAGTGGATCACAATCTCTATAAACTATGCTCGCAGTGTTCGCAAACAAGGCACCATGTTTGTTTTGTTCAGGGTGAAACTTTCTGTAACATACAGCAACAGATGCTCTAAATGCATAAGTGTATTTTTATTTGGTATTTAGATAAAAATGACTGAACTCTCCAGGGTTTTACTGTAATCTTCCTTCTCTCATCTGATGGCATGTAAATATAATATGTATATATACTGTAATAAAAACTGAGAGCAGGCACAGGGTGGCAGTCTCAGCTTCTGAGGTGTAAAGATTATTTCTATTGTGTGAAAGGTTTGGCATCTGCGTCGAGTGCACAGCTCAGAGCCTGAAACCCAGTGAGGATTGTTTTCATGACAGATGTGTCATCAAACTGGTTTCAGCATTTTCACACGGAGACGCCCTCTCAGTACACATTCCCTCCGTGCACTTGTGACTTCCTGCAGGTAAAAACAATCATGTAATCTTCCTGTTTACACAGACATTCTCAGCATTCCCCGTCAAAACACTTTTGTCAGCAGAAAATCAGAGGTGAAAACAGCTGTTTGAGGGGCTGAGAGCAGCTGAGCAGCCCCACTGATGATTTTACACTGTATTAGTGACTGTGGTTTATTTTTTCATTGATGCTAAAATAACATTCCACTACAAGATAAATGCCAAAAGCATTTCTGTCATGGCTGCTGTCTCACTAGGATGCCAACAATGAGCCTCTGGCTGAATAGGATAAGCCATCCCTTATAGCCAGAGTCAAAAAATCAAAACTGCTTCAGCTTTCCTCCGTCACGTCACATAAATACACAGAACTTGAATAACGTACTTAGAGAAGTCTTTGGAAGACAATTTAAAAACAGTCCATATGCTTCTGGATACTTTTGGTCTGATGCAGTTTTTCCTGAGTCATGCTTGTTCAAGTGAAGGTACATCTGAATGATGCAGCAGGTATCTAAGCTCTTTATTTTAACTTATTTTTTGGATTTGCTCCTAAGTGATATTCAGGGTTCCCACGCATTTCCATGGACACAGTTCTTAAACCCACACTAACATTTCTGTGACCATTCACAGACAGAGAATGAACAACGGTCCATCTGATAAATGCAGTAAGATTTAAAACTAGAATTACTGCCCCGCAGTTGTACGCCTCCACGCACAGTTTCTCTGACAGTTTACATCCACGTCTGTGAAAACATGGATGCGTCACAGCCACTGTCCCCCGACAGCACAGAAGATCTAAATCACAACACAGAGTCAAGATTGACACCCAAGATTAGAGTCACCAAGTCAGTATCTGACCAAATGTCTCCCCTTCTGTTCCTGAGACATGACGTTTAATAATGGCCAGAAAAGTGCCTTCATGCAGAACATTATGATGTCACTGTGAGGTTGACCTTTGACCTTTTGGATATAAAATGTCATCACTCCATTATCATACACATCTGAGTGAAGTTTTGTCACAATAAGCGTGTGAATGCTTGAGTTATGGCCAAAAACATATTTTGTGAGGTCACAGTGACCTTGAACTTTGAAACAGTTTATTCTTCAGTCCAAGTGGACGTTTGTGTCAAATCTATAGAAATTCTCTAGGTGTTTTTCAGATACTGTGTACACGAAAATGAGACAAGGTCACACTGACCTTGACCTCTGACCACTAAAGTCCAATCAGGTCATTGTTCAGTCTAAGTGAATGTTTGTGCCAAATTTGAAGAACTTTCCTTACAGTGTTCTTTATATCACATTCACGAGATTGAGACAGACTGTAGACAAGGTTACAGTGACCTTGACCTTTGACCTATAACCACCAAAAAATAATCAGTTCATCACTGAGTCCAAGTGGACATTTGTGCCACACAAGGATGTGAACACGATATCTACGTCATGCACGGACTTACAGAAAACCTGAAAACATAATGCCTCTATCCATGACTATCGCTGGAGCAGAGGCAAAACTATCAGAAGGGAGTGTGTCTGGAAACTCGTGACATTCATGACCCTACATGTTAAATCACACTTTCATAACATCAGATCTCTCTTATGCAAAATGTCAGATTCCAAATCTATATAAATATAATTCCAGCGATCTGGCAAACATGAAAAGAGAGACAGGAGGTGAAGAGAAAATGAGGAAGTGAACGTGATGTAAACAAAACACTGACACACACTGGTGCATATCAGAGCGACGTTGTGTCAGCAGCCAACAAGAAATAAATTCACTGTCATGTTCCATTAAGCAGAAAGTTATCCTTGAAAGATCATTGCAATAATACATTTAATTACACACAACAAAATTCCTTGACTTTTCTAATTCCATGACTTTTCCAGGCCTGGAAAATGAGATAACTTTGACCAGGTTTTCCATGACTTTGAGAATCCTGGATATTTTATATGTTCTCCATGTGTATTTGCACTCTCTCCTACTTTGTACTGCAGCTGCTACAAAACAATTTCCCTTGAGATAAACAAAGTTCTATCTTATCTCATCTTATCTCTTATCTTCAGAGGAATAAAATGATTTTCTGGCTTTCAGGATTTTACATCCTATCTGCCTTTGTTTGACCTTTAAACCTCAGTAACTGCAGACTAGGGCTGCAACGCACGATCATTTTCATAATCAAACTGTCGATAATTTCAATGAATTATTTAGTCTGTAAAATGTCAGTTAATGGTGAAAAATGCCAGTAATGAGTTAAATTGCAGATTCAGATTAATACAATGTATAATCGACTAATAACATATGATATCTTTTTAGAGATAAGGGTCGACCCAGCAGCAGTATAAAAAGTCATTAAAATAAACCCCACTTTTAGCAGCTGCAACATTAAAGCAATGAACACATTAATGCATCAATAATTAATTAATTAATTAATTTTGATGCTATTGCTTTTGCTTAACTAAAATGAATTTCAGAGCCTGATAAGGATCACAGTTTAAATGATATAAAAAGAAGGAAAGCTGAAAATCTTCAAATCACACCAGAGAATATTTGATATTTTTTTCTTGATAAATGATTTAAACCATTCAAGGATACAAAATATGACTTTTAGCATTTACATGTCTAAAAACAACTAAACCCGTGTTGTATATTTTGTTGAGTTGTGTATTTATATTATTAAAACATTTCCAACGATGTTCAAACTTGAACTAAGGACGTGGTCTGTGTCATTTGGACTCCATCTCCTGTCAGTGGCATCATGTGTCAGGGTAGTGGTTGTCATGAATTGAATTTTTATTAATTTTTAAGCCACATTTTTATGACACACCTTTTAGTTCTTGGTCGTTTTTAACTATATTTTTAATCCGATGAAGGATGTTAAGTCACTGGACGTCTGGATCTGAAGTTATGAGAGAAACAAGCTGAGCAAACGTGAGCGGCGACTCAGCTGCAGCCCAACAGCATCCCAGAAATACAGATTTTTAATGTGAACTGCTTTCAGGGTTCCTGCACATGGTAACTGACAGAATTTCCAAAGTCTTAAGTGACTTTTTAAGGACCCATAATAAAATGTTCATTTCAGAAAATCCCTTCACTGTGTCTGCTGCACGTGGCTCAGTTAAGGCACTTGTTAACATGCACTGCCACACTTTGTCAAATACACGTGTAACATCTTAAAACTTTCAATGATTTTTCAAATTAAGAGACTTTTCCAGGCCTGGAAAATGAGATTGTAAAAAGGTTTTCTGTGACTGTATGAAATCCTGTGCTTCACTCAGTGTTTTTACTGGTTTAAATCAGAGGGTCAGTTTGTTTTTGAGAGGAGGAGACCTCTGTGAATAATTCAGCTCCTGGTCAAAACCTCTGTAACGTCTGGATCTTAAGTTGTCAGAGGCAAAAGGTGAGCACGCATTCACAGGTGCTGAGCAAGAGGCCCGGCTGCTACAAGCCAAACAGCCCCAGAGAAACACTAATGTTTAATGTGAAGCTGCTTTTATAAGTGTTTTTTAAATCTCTGAGTCTGTTTGTTTTGCAGAGGAGGAGACCTGTGTGGATTCAGCTCCTGGTAAAAACCTGCTGAACGATGAACACTGAAGGAACTCTGACCAGCAGAAACTGACTGCAATCACAGCACTGCTTCGTCTTCTGTTACTGTTTTGATTGATCGACCACTAGTGACAGAAAATTACATAATGTAAGTTCAATCCACTAATCAATATCACATATTCATTTCCCTACAGATGGACTACTCACAAACTCAAGTGTGACTCACCTGAAGATGGCCAGGCTGAGTGACCACAGCACTAACGGGCGCCGCAGGTTTAACTTGGGCCTCTCCCTCATGAAGTGCTGACCACCGAATACGAGCGCAGCATACAGGCCACAGAACATGAATGCTTTGCTCCTGTGGACCAGAAAAACAGACCATAATATCACACTGATTAGCACTACTGAACACAAGAGAATAGACTTTATTACCTGGGAACAAGCACACGCAGCATGAAATGAATACCCAGCACCTCACACTGATGTGATGCACCTGCAGCTTTGTGGGGAATGTTGTTGATTTTACTCAAACAGTTGAAGTGATTTAGAGACAAATCATTATTTAACATAAAAAATGAGCCAGAAGGAAGAAATTTTAGAATCAATATTGCTTTCATTTATGTGGAATAACCTGTTCTACAAGAACCTCTGTCTGGTTCCAAAAAAAGGAAGAAGCCGACTTCCTCTGACTGTTAAATCACCTCAGTCAGATCCTCAACCACTCGTGATTATAGAGATGAAGCGCTGTTACGCAAGAACGTTACACAATTAGGGTGAACGCACCAGGCAACTGCAAATAAAAACAAACATGACATGATGTGACTGTCTGCTCACTGGGGCCATAGTGAGGTGAACACATGAACACATGTATGAGCGTTTTATAAACCCATCCTTCATCCTCATCCTCATTTATAACCACAGCAAAGGATTAACAGATTAGTCGTTGACACAGTGACCATTCAGACTGCCAGCTCTGAGTGATGAGGTAATTTTGACCGGGCACTGCTGCGCCTGGCTCATCATCAACCACCGATATCATTTTAATCACAGCTGAAAATGACCACAGATGACCACAAAAAGGTGGACTCCTGAGCTCAGAATACTGAGCGATGGAGAAGATCATGTGTGAGCGTGACAGAAACAGCCACACCTGACTTTATAAAGCCCAGACTCCCTGTGTGCATCACATCTGTGCGTGTGTCGGAGGTGGAGTGGGAATACACCAGATGACTAATCCGGCTGCTCCCAATCCATTCATGAAAAACCTGCATGAAGCAAAAGCCAAGTAGGAGCTGATAATATTTGAAGTATTTAAAAAGGCTGCAACTAGCCATCACTTTTATTTTTGATTGAACAGCTGCTTATTTAATTTGGTTATATGACTGTTCAGGGTTCAACAGTGAGGACTGTCTGACTGCACAGGACAGGTCAAATGCCACGGCGGGCAACACACCTGCCTGATCGGGCAAGTGAAAACTAAAAGATTAAACATCTTTTCTCTGGAGCAGATGGTGGAAATATCTCACTCCCTCCTCGTCTCTGTTGAGATGCCTATGTACAGTACCAGTCAGGCACTTGCAAGAAAACGGCGGCGGGTAAAGACAATGTTTATGAGCTGAAGCACAAGGGAGCATTTCAATCATCCTGGAAACAGGAGTTTATTCTGGTGGCGTTAAAGGATGTGGGAGAAACTCCAACTATGACTTGTGCAGTTTGCCACAAGTTTGGAGTGTGGCGGGTGAAACGGTTTATTTTTCAAAGGCATGTCAAGTTTTCAATCACCCTGAAGTGGCATAACAAGAGCTGTTCAGTCTTTGTTGTTATTTGATTACAGGGTTGCAACAGTATGAGATTTTCACTGCACGATAACTGTCTCAAAAATTATTGTGGTTTCACGGTATCAACCATTTTGTTAATAGAAGTTTATGTAAAAAGTCTTCTCTCTAGAAATTCACTAACATAAAGTTGAGATTTTCCGTCCAGTTGCTTTTTTCCCCCAATATCGTAAATAAGCAAATGTATACGGTATGATAACCATCAACTTTTACATCACTGTATACCTTGAGACCTGTGTATCGCTGCAGCGCTATGTGATAACTGCTAATGCATAAAACAATTAGCACAGCTGCAGGTAAAAACTGACAACGAATAGGCAGATTTCTGTCTATAAATCCTAATTTCACAACATAATACAGGATCTTTAAAATCGCTTGTGTTGTCCGACTAACGGGCAAAAACCCAAAGATATTTAGTTTTTAATGATAATCAGTCCCTCCAGAAAATTGCGACCTTGCGATCACAATAATTAACGCAAATTCAACGAAAGTCTTAAATATTTGCAGGGGCTTGCAATTTTTCAAAAGGGCACGCGACATCATTTGAAACGTCATCAGACGCTTCATCAAATGTGCTAATGGAACTGCAGTTTGGAGAAACGCTCTGTATTGACAACAGAATGTGCACTGTGTAAATGCAGACAATATGTGTTGAATGTATTAAATGTTATGTTTACAGAAGATGTAGCTGACATGTTGTTGTACAGTCACATTGTCTGGTTTGAGAGCGACAATATTCACTCAGGATCTTTTGCAACTTTATTGGAGTCCATGTTTTGAAACTAATTAAATAAAAGATGAGAACTATAAAAAACATGTGCAGCTATTTTTGTAATATTCAGTATGATTATTATAGCAAGTGACTACATGACTTATTTTTTTGGAGGCAGTAATTTTAAAAAAATCACTCTTTTTTTTTCCTTTTGTCATTAGCCGCAATTTCACGCAAAAAAAAAAAAAAAAATCACAGAAAAATACTGTAATTTTTATCGCAATTTTTTTTTCTTTCAAGATAAAGATGCACATGCGTTGGTGTGTTTACTCATGTGCAAACAGGCATCTGTTTAAAAGACAAGTTCCACTCCCCCGTCATTACAAACATTCTTTTGGGTCACATTTTTATCATTAAGCTAAAATGTAATTGCATAGTGTCTTAATTACTCAAAATATAAGGTGACTAAAAAGAGTCAGTGTTGCGCCCTGCATCACCTGCATCACCTGCATCACCTGCATCACTAATATGAGACTAGATATCATCTTAGATTTTGGATATTGTAATATCATAAGTGTCTTTTCCTGGTGTTAAAAGCTGCATTACAGTAAAGTGACCAATCTACCTGTGACTGTGACTGAATAAATATTTTGTAACAGTCAACCCTACAAATATTGTGACATTTCATTTTCTCCATGTCGCCCAGTCCTACTTCTGATGTGCATTTTAATAGATTAAATGACACCAAAAGAGGCACCTGAACGCCCCCTACATAAACATCCACAAAGCACCGTCTGACAATGACCCTTCATTCAGTCATTTTCTTTGTTAAACTGTTGTGAATCAAACACGATAAATCAACATGAAACATATAAACATTGTAGTATTACAAGCAGCTGACAGGGTTACCTTGGGTCATGTTTTCATCTGTTACACAACACATGATGTCAGTCAGACAGGGTTTGTGTGTGTGTGTGTGTGTGTCAGTGACAGGTGATACAGGTCAGGTAATAAGGCACGTGTGTGAGCGCTCAGCCTCAGGTGTGGCTGTGGGCTGTTTACAAACTGTGAGTGAAAAGAGGAATCTGACACTGTAAATTCCCACAGCCTCAATGACAGTATAGTAATGTATTTATTTAATCCAACCTGCAGTCTGAAACCCAAAGACACTCAGTTTCCTTCATATGTGACCACACAAAGCATCAAAATCTCACATTAGAGAAGCAGGAGCCATCAAACGTTGAAAAATGAGTGAAACAATAAATCAGGTGTCAAAATGTCACTGATTATTTAACTACGTGTTTCAGCTCTAAACTCTACCTATTCTTATATTTTCGTCTCTTATGACTGATTAAGTTACATTAGCTACAACCAGCCACAGTTACCTAGCGTCACTACAAACGGACCAGTACCAGGAGTTTTGAGACAAACATAAATAATAAAAATAAACATTTCTGGGAAAGTTCCATTTTTTTTGTTTTTTGTTTTGCTACCATGAGATCTACTGGGTAGCAGCGGTGGGGTCAAAAAAATTTATATAGTATAGTATTGCGATATTTTAGTGTGGCAATATCGTGCTGTTATACAGACCTGGGTATAGATATTTTTATCATATAAATAGAGTTTCACTGCTCCATACTTTGCTTTTTCAGTTTACCAGATACATTTTGCTACAATAAAAACTTACTGGTGAACGAATACAACTATGATTTCATATGATCTATATCATCTAATAAGACAGTTTTCCTTTGGAGACATAATTTGCAGTTGCAAAAAGGTAATAAATCGCAATTTATCGCAGTGTATTTTATCCCAATACTCAGCATATTGCAATATATTTAAAATTGCAATAATATCGTATCGTTGGGTGATTCTCACCCCCACTGGGCAGGATGTTTTCCTCTTTGATCTTTGGCATTTTTCTACGCCAACTTCTTATTTATCGTTAATCAACTGAAACAGCTAGCTGCCAAAATGTTTAATGACTATGAATGATTAAGAAAAAAAACCCTGCAGATTAAAGAAAATATCTGCAGCATTAGTTTTGTGGAAAAACATGTTTATATTCCTCAAAGTGGAATGTGGTATCAGTAAAGTTATCAGCTGCTCTATCGTGATACTGTACGTCAGAAACAACAATGATAAAGTTTCAAGTACAGGTCAGGAGGAAGAGGAGGAGTGAAGAGTATTAACAGCACATTATTCTGTTCGATGAATCTGATGTGATTCATGAAGCAGCTGTCTGAAGTACAACAGTGTGTCTTTACAGCGACGCTACATGACGACAGAATGAATGCTGAAGCAGATCCAAACACAACACGAAGCGTCCGTGCTGTTACTCTCATGCTACTCTTTAAAATGTGTCTACATCGTTCATGCTGTGTGCACAACGTGCAGCTCCAGGCCGCCGGCGAGGAGGGAATGCACTTTTACCCCCTGAGCTTTACGGGACTTCATGTGACAGCTCTGGTAACAGAAACACAGCTGTATTTAGTTTCTGTCTTGCACAGCCTTGTGGACGTGAGGCTAAAAAATGTGGTCCTACCAGGTTTCCCTTTGACTGAGGGACGGATCACTTCCTCTGTGCAACAGATTTTACTGGACACTGAAGGAGTTTATGTGAGCTGAGACTGGACCATTTCAGAATCAGAATCTGATGATTAGGTTTTCACATATAAGGAATGTTATGTGGTGTTTAGGAGCGTTTACAGGAAACATTAATGTAGAATATAATATAAAAAAGTACAATGTAGGAGTTTGAAATGTAAGAGCTCGTCAGGGATGTGGGGCGATGATCACCAGAGGATCCATGACAGGATATCATCATGATGCTTAAGTCACCATACAATATTATTGAGATTTTAAATATGATGATATATGCTGAGTATTGCAATAAAACACGTTGCGATATATTGTGATTTATTTCCTTTTTTCAACTGTAAATTATGTCCCCAAAGGAAAACTGTCAGCATCTGTTTTAACATATAAGATAAAGTTTTCAGTTTGATCAGCTCACCTCAGACAAGCCTGCATGTGTCTGATATGAATGTAATGATGAAATGATATATTTTGGTGGTTTGAGTTGAAGGTGTGAGAAAGAATAGTATCAGTAACATTGTTAACACTGTGCTACATTACAGAGAAATACAAACCGTACTAATGAACCTTCATTAATATAGGCCTATATTTTATCTCCAAGTGCACGTCACACACTGAGCGAGCCGCCTGTTAATGACGCTGTGGGCTAATGGGCATGTAGCTACTTCCATGTTTCAGATGATACGTCATGTTTGTAGTCGACCAATAAAGATGAGTTTACATATCACCTTGGGTTCGTCCTTCACCTTCTCAAAATGATCCCACACTTTGGATTTCCTGCCCGACATGTTATTAACTAGCCTGTGGAATAACCGCAGGTACCAGCCCTGGAGATTAACCTGACTCCTGTCTGACTGCTGAGCGTGGACACTTCCTGTGTCTGTCCTTTCAAAGGAAAGTCACACATGCTCCAGTCATATAGGTTTGGATTTATTCTGACAAGGTGCAGCTCCTCATAGTGTTGGACATGTTTTTGTTTTTTTTGTTTTTCTGTGACTAAGCGACCAATGAAATCTTGCCGACTAATGACCTTTCTGGTCGACTAACGTTTTGTTCACTGTCAGGGGTCAGACCTGATATTTCCAGTTGAAAGAAAGGTAATAAATCACAAGTTACGGCAATACTCAGCATACTGCAAAAAGTTTAAGATCACAATAATATTTCATCTTGAATTAACTATCGTGATAATATCGTATCGTGGATCCTCTGGTGAACTCAACCCTAATTCCTACCTAGCCCTTGTATCTTAATCTGTTACACTGCAGGATATATATTCTTTAAATGTTTACATATATATACACTAGACTTAAGACTTTCCTCTTTGATAAAGCTTATAGTTAGGGCTGGCTCAGGCTTGCCCTGTACCAGCCCCTAGTTAGGCTGACTTAGGCCTAGTCTGCCGGAGGACCCCCTATAATACACCGGGCACCTTCTCTCCTTCTCTCTCTCTCTCTCTCTCTCTCTCATCCACTCTCATCCTATTACTGCATCTTGCTAACTCGGCCATTCTGGATGTCACTAACTCGGCTTCTTCTCCGGAGCCTTTGTGCTCCACTGTCTCTCAGATTAACTCATATCACAGCGGTGCCTGGACAGCGTGACGTGTGTGGTTGTGCTGCTGCCGTGGTCCTGCCAGATGCCTCCTGCTGCTGCTGCCATCATTAGTCATTAGTCATACTTCTACTGTTATTATACACATATGACTATTGTCACACATGTATACTGCCAGATATTAGTACATACTTTCAACATATTGTACCACAGTAGCCAGAACTATAACTATAATATTATTACTTTCAATAATGTTGTTGTAAGCTACTGTCATTACCTGCATCTCTCTCTCTCTCTCTCTGTCTCATTGTGTCATACGGATTACTGTTAATTTATTATGCTGATCTGTTCTGTACGACATCTATTGCACGTCTGTCCGTCCTGGAAGAGGGATCCCTCCTCAGTTGCTCTTCCTGAGGTTTCTACCGTTTTTTTTCCCCATTAAAGGGTTTTTTGGGGAGTTTTTCCTGATCAGCTGTGAGGGTCATAAGGACAGAGGGATGTCGTATGCTGTAAAGCCCTGTGAGGCAAATTGTGATTTGTGATATTGGGCTTTATAAATAAAATTGATTGATTGATTGATTGATTGATTGATACATATATGTATATATATCAGGGGTAGGAATCATCAGGGGATAGGGCTTGGCGATATGACCAAAATCTCATATCACGATTTAGGTCATTTCATATCCTGATAATGATACATATATAGATAGATATGGCACATTTTAATCCAATGAATAAAAAGTTGCCCACACCTCTGCTCAACACTGAGGCTGCACCACCATATAAACTCGTTATGTTACTGTAAGTGCCGTAAAAGCTTCGTGAATTAAAAATCCAAGAAGAGTAATTTATCAATGTGATCCGTGCAAAAGATGGACAGACTCCAAATGACGAAAAATATCGCCGTACAAAGTGTAATTCGCGTCACGATATAAACGATAGACATTTTTCTCTCGTCACACGATAAATATCGACGTATCGCTCAGCCCATGATGATATTATCGCAAAGTCATGATACGATTATTATTACGATTTTAAACATATTGTGATATGCTGAGTATTGTGATAAAATATATTGCAATTTATTATCTTTTTTAAAACTGTAAATTATGTCTCCAGAGGAAAACTGTGTCCACATCTTTTTATCCAGCAAAAGTACGTTCAGTCTGTTTATTTAAGTTTTTGTGGCAGAAAAATGTGTCTTGTGGACTGATTATATTATTCTAGTAGGGTACTGAAAGTTGTATTTCTAATATTAATAATTTATTAAATAAAAAAAAGATAGATGGCATAGTGACGACACCATATTGTCACAAAAATATCGTGATACTATGGTGTATTGATTTTCCCCACTCCTTGCATGAATGTGCATAAACACGTGCTTTATATGTATCTAGGTGACAACATTTACTTTATGTTTTTGGTGCATGCACAGTACACAAAGCTATACTTATTTATCATGCATGTAACCAGCTGTTAAACGCAGTTTAAATGAGGATCCAGTCTGACCTATGGGAGCACAGATGGAGTCACATCCTCAAGGACGTTTGAATTAAAGCGGTAAAATGAGATTCATCGTGTCTTCAGCTCATTCTGCTGTTTTAGCCTCAATATGGCGCATTAAGGTGCAGAATGAATCACAGTGAAGGAGGAAGATGTGGAGAGATTATAATGCACCGGCCGGTCCGCATGGCGAGCAGCCCGACAGGACATGAGGAGCAGCCAGGAGCAGCCAGGAGCAGGAGGAGCAGGAGGAGCAGGAGCAGGAGCAGGAGCAGGAGGCAGCCGGCATTTTATCATGTGTACCGGGAGCTCCTCTTCCTCCTGTGAACTCACCAGTTTTCTTGCATCCACTCCAGAGCCCGTCTCTCGTCGAAACGCCTCTCGAAGTCGTACTCGGCCAGCAGCGGATGGACCTGACTCTCGTTCATTTTCTGTCCGCTTTTCTTCCGCCGCAGGAACCAGAACTTTCTGGACGGTTTGTTGAGGGGTTAATAAACGTGACCGAGCCGAACCGGCTGAGTGGCGGGACACGGGCCGACCTCTGCTCCGTTATCCGGCTGATGTTAGCGGGGTTATCAGCGGCTGCAGTCCGGGGCGACGGGAGGATGATGCGGTACCAGCAGATGCACTTCCCTCTGTCTGCCTCTCACTTTCCTCTCCCGGAGACGGAGAGCTGGCCAAAATAAAGACGAGTCATTTCCGGTTTGGACTTTCAAAATAAAATGCGTGGACGCTATGACGCAGCAGATGAGTGTGGGACCTGTTTATTAGCAGCCTGTAATGCTGGTTGTCAGAGTCACTGCAGCTCAGGGACCACACACAGTCTGGTCTGATCACAGCAGTAAAACCACTGCATGATATCCTGTAAATAACAAACACCTCCAAATGTTTCCCTTTCTTAGTTTGACGAAGCACATGTTAAAAACATTCATTCATTTACACAACAGATGAAAAACAGCCTGTGATTTCTTCAGAAGCATCATCATCCTCACTGTGACCTCGTCACATGTCCACGTTTGGTCATGGACGCCGTCCAAAGTACCCTGGGTGTGTTGGGTGTTGACGCTCTGGGACGCCGTGTCAGTCCCAGTTGGACTTTCGCCATCTTATCTTTCGTCCTTGTCCTGCCGCATTTCCCCCTGATGCCACACTGCTCGCACTGCACCTATAAACTACAACAGCAACCTGTTGCCTATCGTGCCAATATTAGAGGAGCATTTTTCTTCAGCCCTTTTTAAACAGGAGTTGTGCAAATTTGCAGGAAAGCCCAATCAGTGTTTTTTCAGCATTGGCAGTATAAAAACAAAATCGGGGAGTGCAGCAAAATGCCGCCTACCTACTTTTGTTTATACAGAATGTGCCTTTTTCGGGGCAATGGGGGGCGTGAGCAAGTAACAAAACGTGTAGCTCAGCGTGTGACGTAAACAGTGACGTGGGAGGGAAGCCGCGGCTGGTCAGTCCTTCGGCGATTCTCTCTTAAGTCGGCCCGTTCTTCACCGTCCCCGTCATCTGACGGTTAATGGCCTCTTCGTTTGTGAGGACAAGGAGGGCTCACAATTCCTTGTCTCCCCAGTTGCTCATCTTTACAGTGTCTGTCAGGTTTGTGTTTCCCTCTTGCTACTAGCTGCTCGCTAATTCCTGCTATCAGCTGTTTCCTGTTTATCCACCGCCAACAGCTCCTCCCACAAGTCATCAACAGCCCCTCCCGTTGCAGAAGGCCGCCTCTGTCTTTTTAAACTAAAAGGGTTTCACCAATATGTCTACCCTACGAGGAGGAAAATTGGGCACCTCGGATCAACTCGCCAATCCGGCTCTGTGTGTCTAAACGCTTTCAGCTTGCCGGCAAAACGACCCAACATTTGCTGAAAACCTGGCAGTGTAAAAAGGGCTATTATTGGTTTCAGACGTCACTTCCCAAGCGCCTGATTTCGACGACTACGGAGTGAGACCATGCTCTCAGAGGAATAAATGCAGTTCCCACACTATGTCTTTCTGTCTCTGTCTTTAAAATATGACCATAACAAGAATGCATTGCTCTTTCAGAGAGCTGCATTCTGGTCAAGTTGAAAAACATCGAGGCAACATCTGAACAAAAATGCCAAACATCTGCTGAAGCTTCTCAAATGTGGGGAGTCTTGTTTATCCGTTACTTTTTGGAATTTCCAAAACACAACAAGCTCTTTAAAGAAATGCTTTGGGGCTTTGTTGACTTCTCATTTCTGACATTTCACAGATTAAATAAGTTAAGTCATAAATTACTGAGGAAAATGAAAATTATCATATTGTTGCAATCCTAAATTTTATTGTGAAGGTAGAGGCTATCGCTTCCGGTTCCTCGCGCTGTCACCGTGCAGTTTGACGCAGTGGGAGCACGTTCTCTTCCCTCTGCTCCTCCAGCGTGCAGTGATGGAGGCGCAGGGGGCGGGGCTTGGCTGTGACGTTGAATCATCTGTTGGGAGTGTCTCACTGATCCCTCCCAGTGAGTCCAGTCTGAGCCCAGTGTACACCAGTATCACACACACACTCATAACTGGGACTGTCATGCTTCAGATTTTTTTAATCTCATGTGTTTTAAATGTTATTTATTGTTTATTTTGTTTAATCTTAATTATTATTTTCTGTCCTTCCTATGTCGTCCATGATTAATCTGATGTATCGACTGGTGATATATTAATATTAATTACTTGCAGTTAAATCTTGATTAAAGCCGTCTATCTGTGTGTAAGATATGAAGACATGTTCCTTATCTTTACCTGCCAACTACATGTGCAGTCATGATATCTGTGATTGCTTAAACTGGTCCAAAGGGAGAGAGTCACATTACATTTGCAGCAGTGAGGTGTGCAGTTATGTAAGTCCTGATAGCACAGCTGCACACATCTGTTAGCTCACTGCTGTGACGCAGCAGCAGTGACACAATCAGTGAGGATTATCAGCAGGGCAAAGGTAACGCTCAGATCTCAGGTTCACTGTGTTGAGCAACTGATTTGTGGTGATTTGATTCATGTGCACAGATTAAACAAAATGTCATCCTTAAGGCAGGTCCTCCATCATCACCTGAGCTCACTGTAAACTGGTGATATGCATATACAGCTGTCTTTAATGTCAAGTGTCAATTTAAAAAGAAAATTCTTTTGTTTTATTGTACTACATTTACCATCCATCCATCCATCCATCCATCCATCCATTTTCATCCGCTTATCCGGGGCCGGGTCACAGGGCAGCAGGCCAAGCAAAGCACCCCAGACGTCCCTCTCCCCAGCAACACTTTCCAGCTCCTCCTGGAGGACCCCGAGGTGTTCCCAGGCCAGATGAGATCTATAATCCCTCCAGTGTGTTCTGGGTCTGCCCCGGGGCCTCCTACCAGCTGGACCAGGAGGATCCTGATCAGATGTTGAACCACCTCAACATGAAGGAGCAGCGGCTCTACTCCGAGCTCCCTCCAGATGTCTGACTCCTCCCCCTATCTCTAAGTCTGAGCCCAGACACCCTACAGAGGAAACTCATTTCAGACGCTTGTATCTGTGACCTCATTCTTTCTTTCACTACCCAGAGCTCATGACCATAGGTGAGGGTTGGGACGCAGATGGACCAGGAAATTGAAGGCTCTGGCTCAGCTCCCTCTTCACCACGACGGACCGGCGCAGCGCCCGCATCACTGCAGAAGCCGCACTGACCCGCCGATCCATCTCACGCTCCATTCTACCCTCACTTAGTCTCTATAAATTCTACATTCAGTGAATGTAGAGTCTGTAGGCAAAACCCCGGAGATCTTGCCTCTGGAAGAAGAGCGGAAGAGCCCTGGTTTCCAGTTGTAGGCTGTTTGTAGTCTGCGTGATATTGACCAATCACGTTTGAGCCGGCTGCAGTTGTTGCCAGGTTAAACGCTCCGTGCGGTGAACTAACGAGGTGGAACATAATTGGCGTCACTGCAAACTCTGAATCCTTACTTATATATAAACGAAAGTTGGAAACGGAAATTTGCCTCCTCCGCCCAAATCAAACCGGAATGCCAAAAAGTCGGGGGTCTGCCCCCAGAGGCTGTATCGCCGTCTGCCGGAAGTCAGACGCCGAATACAGCCGATGGGTTCCGAGAATGACCCTCACTCGTGAACAAGACCCTTGTTCACGAGTGAGGGTTTGCCCTCTCCAACCTGGAGAGGGCAAACCACCTGTTTCCGACAGAGGACCATGACCTCAGACTTGGAGGTGCTGACTCTCATCCCAACTGCTTCACACTTGGCTGCAAAATGCTCCAGGTCATGCTGGAGGTCACTGTGTGATGGAGCCAACAGAACCGCATCATCTGCGAAAAGCAGGGACGTAATTCTGAGGTCCCCAAACCATACCCCTTCCTCCCCCGGGCTGCGCCTCGAGATCCTGTCCATGAAGATCACAAACAGGATTGGTGACAAGGGACAACCTTGGCGGAGGCCAATACCCACTGAGAACGTGGTCGACTTCACACCGAGTACGCGGACACAGCTCTCACTTTGGTCACACAGGGACCAAATGGCTCGTAGCAGCGAGCCTGGAACCCCATACTCCCACAGTACCCCCCACAAGACCCCCAGAGGGACGTGGTCGTAAGCCTTCTCCAGGTCCACATTTACCACATGCACAAATAAAGAACTAGACTGAAGGTGCCAGCATCTAGATTTAAGACCTTAATTTTAAAAAAAAGTGTCTTGAGAAACACCAGTCAGACTTATGTCAATCAATCAATCAATCAATCAATCAATCAAACTTTATTTATATAGCACTTTTCATACAAACAGAATGCAACACAAAGTGCTTCACACAATAGAAACAATACACACACACATAAAGCAAAGACTGCAGTAGTAAAGACTAACTGACTTAAACTTAAATCAGTCAATAAGTAAATAAATATGTTAAAATAAATAAATAAGTAACAAAAATGCCAGCTAGAAAAACAGATTAAAAATAAAAAATAATTGTATTTATTATTATTGCGTATTTATCTATTTATTTATTTTATTTTTATTAATCTAATAATAATAAATAATAAATGCAAAATAAAAAAAGACATAAAGTTTAATTCAAAGCCAGGCTAAAAAGGTCGGTCATGAGTTCAATTTGAAAAACCTCAACACTCTCTGTGGCCCTCAGGCTGCTCCACAGACGTGGGCCCTAAATAATAAAGCAGATGAAATATGAACAAAATAATCACATCACAGAATGATTAAAATGTAAAATGTCCATGACTCCTTTGAGAGTATTAATAACTTTAATCCTCATAATGAGGGAGCAGTCTCCTACTTTCACCACATTATACAAAGGCACACTGATGTCAGCACTGAAAATACAAACATAAAGGTTAAGAATATAATCAGGTAATATCTTATTATCATTATTATACAGAATATTGTAAAATTCTGTTTTCTATAACCCTAATTTGAAAAAAATAACTATAGCTGTTAAATAAATGTAGTAAAGTGAATAATACAATATTTCTCTGCAACATGTAGAAGCATAAAATAGTAATACACTAAAGTGAAATACAAGTATCTCAAATCTGTACCTGAGTTCAGCGCTTGACTGAATGTGTTGTTACATTTCACAGCTGTTGTTTGAGTCACAAGGTTCAGATGTAAAGAATGAACATTTAGTGCCATCTGCTGGAC